AATCCACTGCAACAGATCTGGAAAATATGGAATTAACATCGGATTTAGCTACTTCTCCTGCTAAACATCTATAGAATCATGGAAAAAATCAAGCATACTTGGAGTCTCTCATTCAAAAACTGATTCAAACACCAATGTTTCTCCTTCAAAGACGAAAAAAAACAAAAAAACAAAAATCAAGCTGCTATTTACACTGTTTCTAATGAATGTCACCACCAGATTTTGTTGACGAATTAATCCTTTTGTCAAAACTCAACTCAACTCAACCTGTCGAGTTCGCCAACCACTAGCTTATTTGAAAGATTATGCCACTCTTGCAGTTAGAACTGAATTCACCTATCTGCCATTTGAGCCAAAGACACTAAACATTGTTATGCAAGAGGAGTTATCTTCTCTTCAAACCTTAAAACCCTCCACAATAGTTGCCTTAGTAAATATCAATGTTTTCGTTCAATTTAAAACCCTCCACAATTGTTGCCCTCACAAGAAGGTGAAGATATGTTTTTTGAAGTCAAGGAGAAGATGATTTTTGGGAATTTGAAGGAGAAGGAGGTTTTCAATTTTCAATTTGGGAAAGAATATGTTTTTGACGTAAATGAAAGTTTTAATTCATTCTTCAATTTGATTTTACAATAGAAGGTTATAATAGTCCTTTCACACTTTTAAATAATTAAATTTCATTTTATTTTGAGGAATTTGGTCAAAGGCCAGTTGGACAAAAACATTTGGAATGGTGGCTATCTGAACTCATTCCCCTTGTTTGAATGGTTGTGATTTCAGAGCCTTTCCGTAATTTTGTTTTCTCAAAGTTTTGATTATTCGATTTGTTAGTACTGTAATTGAATTAGGTATGTTGGGATCTTTTTGATCTTATACTTATCGTGATTTGTTAAGCAAATGCAAACTTTAAATGTAGGCTAAATTTATGGATTGATAAATTGATATGTTGTTCAATTTGTAGCAATGTAGTTCAATTTGTGGCTTTAAACATTTGATTTATGTTAGCATATGGAGAGTTGTTTGAATTTCAGATAGAAACCATCCGTCAAGAAAATTTGTAATTCTCAATAGATAGTTTCTAGAATTCTCGATAGTTTTACTTGATTTTTTGACAATTATAATATAATGTCAAAATTGTTTCAAATGCTTCACTACGTGTTATACGAATTAAATGCATGTTATATCTTTCTCTAATAATTGGAATTTGCTCATTTTAATTGTGTTGTAGATGAATTTCGAGTTCATTTTTGCCAATAATAATGTTAAAAAATATTATAAATTATTTTTCCAGTAATAATCATCTTGTATTAAACTAGATGGACGAAGTACGATGTCATTGGAGGAGTGCCCCAAGGGGATGTCAACGTCGTCTTCTAGTCCCTGGGCTGATCTGGAGGCTTCCTCAAATGCGAAGAATGTAGTTGGAACTGAAGACGAAGTGGCGCTAAGCGCACATCCAAATACCATCAATGTCAAATCCAACTCCCTACACTAGGAATGGACGGAAGAAAGGAAAGAAAAGTGAGCAATATGACTTTTTTGAATGGGAAAACAATGTGAACCTTTTTGAACTTGTAATGTGTCATATTTTTAAGTTTTTACTTTCATGTCTAGTTTTTGGATTTATGGGAAAAATAGTTATGTTGATTTTCAGATTTGTGTAGTTCATGTTAATTTGTGAAAATACAATTTTATTGTGTAGTAATAGCATTTTCGATGCAAAACACAAAATTGAAATGTATAGACAGGTAGTACAATTATCGGGAACATAATGTTTTCGATATAATTGCAATGGAATGGTATCTAAAATTTGAGATGATGAACGATTCTACCATTAATATTGTAATAAAATATAGGGCTGGACAAAACTCTCGAACTAAACTGGACTGAACCGAACCGAACCCGAACCCGAACCGAATCGAGCAGTTCTTCTTAAATTAAATACCCGAAAGGGTATTTAAATCGAGAACCAACGAGTTTGGTTCGATTCTAGATCTAGAACCGAAGAAACGAATAAGAACTGAATATCTCTAATTTTTTTAATTTTTTATTTTAAATAAGTCAAATTTATTTTATTTTTTTTTAATGAATTTGCTAACTAATTAATTTAGCTCAAACCTAAAATATGATTTTACTATTTTCAATTTTCATCCAAACCCAATTTAATTAAATTGACCTAAATTTTACTCAAATCTCTTATTCTACTGCAGTGTTGTTTTTACCGTTCTGTTATTGTGAACTCGCTATCTTCTTCTTCTTGTGATTTTAACAGTCAAATTTATGAAGATCTAAACAAAAAAATGTGCAAAAGATATCACCATATTGGACTACGTTATTTTGTAATAATTAAGATTGAACATGTCATAGTTAAATTAATGTTGCGTTGTTGTAAATATAAAAAAATTAATTATTGTATGGAATCCGGGAACCGAATAGAACCAAACCGAACCGAACCCGAATGATTCCAAAATTAAATTTGGACCCGACGATTCCACTTACTAAATACCCGAAAATTTCGGTTCTGCTCGGTTCGGTTCCGAACCGAACCGAACTGAACTGGACCATGTACGGCCCTAATAAAATATGTTATCGAATAATGAGTTTGGCAGCATTTGTACGATATTCATAAAATCACTTGTGCATAGTACTCCGAATATGTTTGACGAAACTGGACATCAGTAAGTTACGGAGCTTGTCTCAATATTGAGTTCAAACATTCTGTATTGTTGTTTGTTATAATGTTGTACTGGTTTCCAGCGAAATGTGCTCTAAACCAATAGAAAAGGCATGTAACACGATGAATTTCAAATTATTACTCATACCTGATTAATAATTTGTAAAATTGCAAATTAATATGAGCATGTTGTATTTAACAATTCAAAAACAGTAAGTCATAAGATAAAATATTAAACAATCTGTAAATACGAACATCTCGAAATGAAAGATAAATCCAAGAGTAATTATATTCACACCACAATTTTTATTTCTTGTACTTAAAGTTCTTAATCTTTGCTTACTATAATACTTATGTCTCTAATGATTTTTAATGTCATTTTTATTTTCAAACTTGTCATTAATTAACACGTTTTGAATTTGATAACAATTTTATGTCCAAATGTCAATTGAAATGGCGTAAAATAACTTATTTTTCCTTCATATTTTTTTTAAAAAATTAATAAAAAGTATGAAAAAATATTTTCCCCCATTTCAAAGCTTGTTGATAAAATATTTTGATATAAATCAACAAAGACGAGACATACTAACTAATGGAAGTTCGAATATAAGAATTCAGCGAAAACAATTAAGGAAATAATTACAACAATGAGTAAGCTTAACTGTAATTAGAATGTGGTGTAACAAATAAAAATTGTGGTGTCAATATAACCACCTTAAATTTAATATTACTTTCTTCTTGATATTGAAATGGAGAAAATGTAAATAAAATTGAAATTTTTGGAGACAAAGTTGTTGGAATTAAAGGGTATATATAAAAAGATTAAAATGTCAGTCTTCAATAGGTGTAATGATTGGGTGTGACTTTTCAAGTGCAAAAAGTGCATAACAAAAAGTTATGATCTTTTATTAAAGTGCAATATAGACCATCAATTATGAAATTGTGCGATGTAATGGTTAAAATTAATGTGTCAAAATATGCGATTATTCTAAGTGACACATGAAAATCTATAAATTGGACCCTCCTAATTCTATTTTTTTTTCACTCCAAATCAATTCCATATAATTGATTTCTAATTATTTCCCTCTCCGAATTACATCAAACTAATTTCTAAATTACTTTTGAATTTTGTGTTCGATATTAGTATTTTTCTATTCTAGAATAGTACAGTCAAGCGTTGGTTCGTCCAGCAAAATAAATATTATCCTATATTAATTTTGGAAGAAGTGTTGTATCTTGACAAACGGATGTCTATTTGATTATGTTAGCACCAGTGTAGGGGATGAAAATCCATAATTGTAACATTATATTAAAATTAGATTTTTAATAAAAATTGATGAAATGTGTTATATATAATTGGCATTATCACGAGAGAATTTTGCAATACAACTTATAAGGAAAAAAAAACTACTATTTGACGGCAACCGAAAGACGCACGTCCAGGTTTTTTCAATCCGAAGCATAGTACGTTCATAGTCAACCTTGAAATTTTGAGGGCATTATATCAACTTCAAATATGGGTCTCTATAAATATTTAAAAATATATAATAAATTAATGATTTTCATTGAATAAAAATATTTAAAATTACAAAAATAATAATCTAAAACTTTCAAATAATCTAATATTACGAATCTACATATTTTAATCTATTCAATTTTCTTCAACCAGCTAATTAGCCTTATAGTTAATTAGTTGAACTAAAAAAAAAGAGATAAAATGTGAGTCACCATCCTACTACAACTTACAAATAAAGAAAAATTTGCGAACAATATACTAATCTGAAAAAGTAATAGTGAAAAGCAAGATCCATATATAGAGAGAGGGAAGTCAAAGCAACATTATAACGAAAATGGGATATAAATATAACAATTGAAAATTCTGTCAATTTTATGCTTTATATCAAAATTGAAAAGCAAGAGAAAATGGAAAAACGCCAAAAAAAAATAAAATAATAAATGCACACACGAGGATATAAAAATTAAAGCAAAAAAATCATTCGCGTCAGTGTTACCGTCAAAGACTAAAAAATGGAAAACATCAACTAGAAAAACCTCTTTTTTTGGAAAATTTTATGAAGATATAGTTCTTTCTTGTCACCCGAGTTACTCAGAATGAGTCACATGTTACCCTTAAATCATTATAACTTTCAGCACAGGAAACCTATTATCGTGCATGTAAAACAAAGGGACACAAGAAATAGCTAATAAATCTAGAATTTCTTCAGGAAACATCACAGTGCAGGGCTACAAAGGAAGCCTTTCACTTGATAACCAGAACAACATAATCAAAATACCCAACCAACAATGATCAACAGTTTGATGTTCCTTAATAACATTTGCGGTGAACAATAGAAGGCCCGGTTTCATCGTAATCTGCTTTGGTCACATGTTGATTTTGAGGAAACACTACTTTGGCTATTATTGCACCTCCCACCCATGCAGAAAACTTGCTTAAATTCTCCGGCATATATTCTGGAGGCTGCAATGAACAGAATATTAGAAGAAACCATATATGTACAACCAAAAATATGCAGCATTCCAAAATTGTTTCAGATAAATAGATACAAAGAGAGGTAAATAGCAGAACTTGTATGAACATATTCATCTAGTAAATAAACAAACTTCGAATGATTTATTTCTGTTGTTTCCCTTGGACCATTGTACCTTCTGATTATGGTTAGATACTAGTCTTCCTCCCGTTCTCCTTATCCATCCGATTGCTTTAAGGATATGAGAACGCAATTTTTTTGGATTCGAGATGAGAATCAATATGATCTTTGTAAGGTTCATTCTCCAAATGAAATCCAATAGGATCCAAAGAGACCATCCCTTCACCCATAGGATCCCAAGCACCGGAATTGATCGAAAGTTCGATGATATCTCAAAGGTCTTCTCGTTGTCACCACTTACTGTCATCTATATGATATTTCTAGCTTTCACCTGGACTGCAGAGCCCCAATATCAAAGATAATGTCCATGATATCTTAATGCCATTCTAGATATCAAAAAACTCCAAAGTAGTTTTCCTCCTTTTTTTGTGTTCGATAGAAATTTTGTTTTCTAAACATCATCTAACTTGCATAATTGAACAAATTCAAAATGCTGAAGCGTTTCTTCCAACTGCCATCTTCATCTTATTATCAAAAGTACATGATATCTTTTTCAGACTAATTGAACAATGATGGTTAGCTGAACCACATTTATGCGGAGGAAGCAGATGGAAATTCATTATATTTAGATAAAGCTAACCAAACAAGAACTGTCCACAAGGGCACAATTATGTTTATGCACAGCAGAAAACTTAATCATACAGCAAAGCCACAAACCAAATGCACATATAAAGACTAGCTTATTAAGTTACCTTGACTACGCAAGGACGAATAGCTGAGGAGCAAAGACTAGCTTCTTTCTGAAACCTATCTTCAAAACCTGAAATATCAAGCAACAAATTATGGTGTCAGCCACTTAGAATAGCACCAATCTTTTGCATAACTATAAAAAACACTCATTGCAAAATCATTTCATCCCTATAGTTCAACAGCCAAACAGGTATCTCTATCTAATCTTCTAAAACTCGACTGTAGCCCCATCTGAGAAAGTTCAAAGACAAATTTTCAAACCTACCACCAATATATATTATTATTGCATCCCATGTTACAAACTTACAATCAATAGGTAGGTCAGAGCCTGCAATTGGACAAAGGATTTGTTGTTTATAAAATAACTTGTCACCAACTAGAGAAGATCCTACTTGTAACTAAGTTTCCACAATAACCAGCACAATGTATGCCACAAGAGAGAGCTTACCTTTCCAAGTTATGGAGTTTGTAGCTGAAATCAATAACTGATTGTAATATCTAATTACTTCAAAATAGTAGTTCAAAACTGGCTGGTTTTATAATTTCAAAGTCCAATCCTGAATGCTGGATGAATTATGATTAGAAAGATCAATTTATTGATGGAAAAACCACAGAGACCTCCTTCAATTGATCATATCATCTAAGTGCCCGTTTGACCCCCATTATTCCACATTATAATGAGAGGAATAGTAATTTTTTGAAGAATGCAATTAAAAAAGAATGAAAAGTTTTTGGGTTTATGTGTAATATTATTTTATTGGAGAATGTGTGGTTGATAAGAAGAAAGAAAAATGAATTATAATTTAATGGGGAATAATGGGGGTCAAACGGGGGCTAAAAGTGTAAAACGAGTGTCCCAATAAAATCTATCAGCTGCAAACCTTATGATGATATAAACATACGCACATAATATCCAGTGATTAAATATACAGAAAGGCAATGGAGTGTGACGGAAGATATAACCGGGACAAAGTGTAAGCCTCCGGAAAGATAATTTCTCACTGATCTTAAAAATAAGGCAGCTAAAAATGAGCGTAAAACAAAGAAAGACGTGATGATGCTATATATTTCATTCAGTTCTCAAAATATGATAAAAATTCACCACTCATGGAAGCAGTTCCACCACAAAGTACAGTATTTTCCAGTAGCTGTCGGTGATTCTCGGAAGACACGGTCGAAATACAATGAACCAGCTGTTCAACTACCCCATGTGCCTGTAGACCTAAAATAGATGGTTGGAATAAGGCCTCCCCAACAGTATATCTTTCTCTTCCAATTTTTATCACCTGAAACAACCAACATAAATTAGTTTCCCTTGCTCATAAAAGAACAGGAAAGAGAAAACAAATGATTATGGAAAGAAAATGAAGGCCATCAGTTGCCATGAAAAACCTGCGAGCATGTCTATGACTCTACGTTTCCAACATGCATTATGTCATGGCGTGGGCCATTTACTTTTATTTTATATGTTTGGGCTTGTATTATTAGTGGGCTAGCCCAAGCTCTTTAATTTTAGGGTGGTTGTTTTGTTGTATATATGGTTATATTGATAGCTTTGGAGGGGACGTTGGAATTGAATTGAACCATGGCTTGCAGCCCCTTTTTCTTCCCTCTTCTTCCCCATCTCCTTCTTGCTGTTTCCTCCTCGTGTTCTCCTTCTGCTCCAGTCTTCCCTGTTTCCCCTTTCTTCTTCTCCTCTTCTTTATCTGTTTCTTTATTTGTTTCCTCTTCTTATTTTTCCGTTTTCCCCTTCCCTATTCTATTGTATCTTTTATTGGTTACAAATTCAGCTGATTTCAGCTGGAAATCTCTATTTTCTGAGCTGCTGGATTTCATTCATCTCTCCTTTAAGGTTGTACTGAGGTTGCTGGTGGAGTCAGCTTGTGACAAATGGTATCAGAACAGCAACGTGATCTGGGTATGGCTGAAACTAGAAGCAAATCAAATGAAGATCATCTGAAAAGGTTAGACAAAAAAGTGTTAGATTTGGGTATGGTTACAAAATCATGGGAGGAAAAGTTGAAAGTCATTTGCAGTAAGTAGGACAGGATTGAGCAATTGATGGGGGAAATGAACAGTAAATATGATTCTATCGTGTATATGATGGCTCACATAAATGGGAATAGGGCAAACTACAAGGAGAAACAAGTAGAGGGTTACTGTACTCCATCTCAGATCAGCAGTGGTAGTCCTATTGGAAGTGACCATCACTTTGGAAACACTAGTCGAGCTAGAGAGGTTAGAATGAATGCCAAATTACCCAAAATAGTTTTTCCTTATTTTGAAGGAGAAGGACCTAGAGAATGACTGATACTTCCAACTCCATCAGATTTCTGATGAACTAAGGCTAGGAATGGTTGAGAAGTACTTGGAAGGGAAGGCTTATATATGGTTTTATGGATTCATTGCCAATCACCCTGGAGCAATTGGAGTTTGTTTTCCGATGAGCTTTGCAAGAGGTTTTCAGAAACTACTGAGGAAGAAGTGGTTGAGACATTTAGCAAAATTAAACTACTGGGACCAAATGAAGATAAAGGCTTTGAGTCTAAAGGAGAATCAGGAGGTGAGGAGATCATGGAGATATCCATGAAGGCATTGGTTGGGAGGTGGCATCACCAAACCATTAGAGCTCCTGGAGTGATCAAAGGGAGGAAAGTCTCCATACTCATTGACAGTGGGAGTACCCATAGTTTTGTCGAGGAAAAGTTCGCCAAAGAACTGAAACGTCACCGATGAAACTAGCAAAGTGACAGTGAAAGTAGCCAGTGGTGATAAACTGGAGAGTAACGCCTTATGTCAGCTAGTGGTTTGGGAGATGCAAAACTGGGAATTTCAGTTCAAATTCAGAACCCTTAAGTTGGCTGGAAGTGACATGGTGTTAGCCTGTTAGGGATAAATTGGATGTGCCAATTTGGTCCTGTTACATTTGATTTTGTACAAGGGTGCATCCAGTTCAAGAGTAATGGTGAAGTGATAGAATTGAAGAGTGGAATGTTTGAATATCCTGCCAAGATGATGGGGATTAAGGAGATGGGAAGAATATTTAGAAACGATCCTTATGGGATAGTTGGACAACTATACCATATCAAGGAGAAGGGTGAGGCTATGCCTGAGTAAGTGTTAGAGGTCATCAAACGATTTCCAAAGATGTTTGAAGAGCCAACAAGGTTACCTCCTCCTAGGTCACATGACCACCATATTCCATTGAAGGAGGGAGAACAACCATTCAGAATATGGCCTTATAGATCCCCTTTTATTCAGAAATCAGAAAGTGAAAAGTTGATTAAAGAAGTGCTGGTTGAGGGTGGTGCAGATAATGTTAACCTGGCATATGCCATCTTGCACTACTTGCTTAATCCAAGGGTTGTGAAGAGAATGAGGCAGCTAACTTCATACACAGAAGACATCCAAACCTTCAGGACTAGGTTAATTTAAGGGGAAGGGATATCATGGCGTGGGCCATTTACTTTTATTTTATGTGTTTGGGCTTGTATTATTAGTGGGCTAGCCCAAGCCCTTTAATTTTAGGGTGGTTGTTTTGTTGTATATATGTCTGTATTGATAGCTTTGGAGGGGACGTTGGAATTGAATTGAACTGTGGCTTGCAGCCCCTTTTTCACCCCTCTTCTTCCCCATCTCCTTGCTGTTTCCTCGTGTTCTCCTTCTGCTCCAGTCTTCCCTGTTTCCCCTTTCTTCTTCTCCTCTTCTTTATCTATTTCTTTATTTGTTTCCTCTTCTTATTTTTCCATTTTCCCCTTCCCCATTCTATTTTATCTTTTATTGGTTACTAATTCAGCTGATTTCAGCTGGAAATCTCTATTTTCTGAGCTGTTGGATTTCATTCATCTCTCCTTTAAGGCTGTACTGAAGTTGCAGGTGGAGTCAGCTGGTGACACATTAAAAGGTGATCAGATGTTAATTTACAAACGAATTGATTTTGATGTATAAACCTGTCCATCAGGTAGTGTGTGTTGCTCCTCAGAGCATGACAGCTGGAGTTTCTCATAAGCGTCATCATCATCAGCACAACAAGCATATTGCTCCTTAATTTTCTCAACATCAGATACGCTAAGGTTCACAAGAGGATTGGATTTACCAAGTTCTTGTGCAAGAAGGTTCGTCAAATCCAAACCACCTAGTTCAAATCTTCTTGAAGATATCTGCTGAACCGCACCTTCAATTACAGTTGCAATATCTGAAAGTTTGCAAAACCAAATCAAATTGCAAGAATTGTAATCATAATTATATAGAATACGAAGCGCTGATTAGTAAGTGACAGATTAAATTGCCAAGTGCCTTTCACACGACAGATTATTTCAACGGCGAGATCAGTATAGAAGAAAAGGACAGAAAAAAACAAGAACAGAAAAAGTCACATCTTCCACAGCTCTCCACACCAACCACCTGCAGCCCTCCCTTTCATCCAATCACCCCGTTCCCTGCTGTCCCCTATCCTCTCCCTCATCCAATCTCTAACTGCCCACTATGTTTCTTGGATGCAATATTGCCTTCCCAGAGCTTAAAGGACTGTTTGAGGAGGATCCTGGACTGTAGATTGGATTGAAATCTAGGAAGAAAATTCTGGAGTCACCAGGAAGACATCACTGCTAATAGTTACAGGCTTTTCAACCACAGTACTGAAGTATGTGCATCATGGGAAGGGCCATGTTATTCTCTGAAATATTTGAATTTCTGAGCTGGAAAAATGGCCAGAAAACAGCAAAGTTTGGCTGTGCCAGTCCAGTCATCCCACATTTAGATGGAGCTTTGCTGTCTCTTATTATTTTGTTCCTTGTCAATTTTTAAAATAAAACAAAACTAAAAAAAGCAGCACACTTGGGAAACAGGCTTCAGAAGCCAGACCCTGCACACCTTGATAGAGCCTGTGCCTGGGTGGCCTAGCCCATTTGACGCCTCTAGACTAGCCTTCCCAATTTATCCCCTTTACAACAAAATTTCATGCTCCACTTGAGCAACCACTTTCAAAAAAGCAAACAAATATCGTGCCTTCAGCACACAGCTAAAGGATAATAATTTCTATTTTCCAGGTGACCAAATTAGGGGAAACCCAACAATCATTCCTGAGTACTCACAAATATGCTTGATAGAAGAAAAAGGTCATAATAAAATAACTCTTAGTGCTAAGACCAACCAATCAAGAGGTATATCCAAAAAGAAGTATGCATATCTTCTTAGCACCACGAGTTATTTAAACAACATTTTCAAAAGCAACTAATAAAGTTGCACATACCCATCTTGCCATGTCCAATATCCACAGTGCAGCCTGAGATGCGTCCTACTGCATAAAGTGATAATACTGCTTGGTCAGATGCGTAAAAGCCTGAGATGTTAAACCTTTCAAACATCATCTGCACCAACTGTTCTCTTGCAGCCTGTTAATAAGATAAATGAATCAAACTATACGATCAAAATAATCATCAAAACAATAAAAAATTTCATGAAAAAAGAAATTAATGAAATCAATTGGTTCTTTTTCATATCACTTCAGACTTCTGCATGCTTTCAAGTGCAATATGGATAATGGATTAATATAGTCCTTCAAGAAATTTCATAAGCTACAAATTTAGCACCTGTTTGGGCTCCATCAATTCTAAGATTCATTTTTCTCTCTCCTCTTTTCAACCACACATTCTCCAATAAAATAATATTACACTTAAACCCAAAACTTTTCCTTCTTTTTTATCCACACATTCTTCAAAAAATCACTATTACAAAAATACATTTTTCCCAAAAATTTAATTATAATGGAGCTCAACGGGTCTTAAGAGTCCAGATCAACTCTTTTCCTTCTCTATTTTCTAGGGTACTAGTCCTTGCAATATGACATGTTACAGAATCATTTTCCTTAGGAACATGAAATTCAAGATGGCAACCAGAAATAAATTTTGTACAGCACGGAGAAGAAAGATGTTAAATCATCTCATCTAAAAGTTGTCGTTAGGGGGAACAAATTTGTTTATTTAAATGTAGTCTGTAATATGCATGCGCAGGCTAGATTCATTTGTCTTTTTGTCAAGTTTACTAGAAAGACATGAAAAGACTTCGCCTAACCTTCGGACTGGAAAGTGGGTCAGCAAATAAAATTTGCCCTTCATTTCCAATTTCCCATCCAAGACCATTATAAAGAACATGGTCTAACAAATCTTCCATGGCATCCCAATCGCTGATAAAGCCTCGGACAACGGGATCAACAATGACCTCATGCAAGGAATCATCAGTGGAGGACTCATCTCCAGGCAGGCATTTCATCTGAGTCGGAATCATCTACAAGTCAATGAAAAAAGTTAGTTAAAGTAAAAAAGAAAAGAAAACCTTCAATTTATATCATAAATGACGTGCTAGAAAGAAACTAATGAACTACAGCAAAAAATCTCGAATAAAAATGATGAAAATTTCTCATGCTAGCATCAAAAGGCAAAATTACAGATAAACAAAGAAATAATCACTTAAATTTAGCATTTTCAAAAATATAATCCATTTTCTTATTTAAGAGTCCATTTGATTCTCATTATTGTAGAATGAGAAAGAAAAATAGAACCGTCATTAGGCTCCACACAAGAGATAGAAATTCAAAATTGATGGCTCGATGTGATGAATAATAGTCATATTTTTCATTTTTATGGATGAAAAATGAGAATCAAACGGGCTCTAAATATTTTCTAAGACCTTGTTTGATTCCTATTATTTCCAAAATACATTTTTTCTCTCTTCTTTTCAATCACATTCTTCAATAAAATAATGTTGCACGTAAACCCAAAACTTTTCTTTGTTTTTTAACCACACATTTTCCATCAATCTACTAATACAAAATGCATTCTTTTCAAAAAAAATAGGGTTCAAACATGCTCTAAATGTGTAATTAGAGATTAAGCCCATGTTTAAATCCCTTTAAAACAAAATGATTTATTTCTCATACTCATTTTTTCCCATCACATTCACACAATACAATATTTTGCACGTTAACCCAAAAATTTTCTCCACTTTTTAACTATACATTCTCCAAAAAATCATTATTCAAAACATCATTTTTACACAATAATGACCATCAAACAAGGGCTAAAATAGTAATCTTATTAACACTAAAATAGTCAAGTAGCAAAGCAACTTGAGGATAGTATATCAAGTTATCAACTATTAATTAGAAATTCAATTGAAGGGACATGGATAGACATGAGGATCTATCATTCTTTGCAATTAACTTCAATAACTCAAATGAATTTCCTCTCGCTTATTTCACACAAATCTAGTAAGATAAACCTCTTTCAACACAAACAAATGCTCTTAAACATGGTATATTACTGGGTGCATTAACTGTAACGATCCGACCTTTGTATCGAAACATTAACTTACGTATTGTCCGTTCTAGGTGGGCATATGTCCAATTACCCTTTCGCGGATTTCTATCGCGTCCTCAAGATTCGAACCCATGACATTTCTAATTGGTATCAAGATTCAACTTAAGTCACTCTTAAGGAAAAGATCATTGATTTGAATCCTGAGAACGCAATAGAAATTCGTGGTACAGTAAGTGGACAGATGTCACCTAGAATAAACAGTACGTAAGTTAACAGTTTGGACATAGAGGTTGGGTCATTGCAAAAAAATGCGCATTTTTTTTTAACGACCCAACCTCTGTGCGGAAACCGTTAACTTACGTATTGTTCACTCTGGAAGAGCCTGAACCCATCTTACCCCTCATGGATTTCTATCGTGTCCCCATGATTCAAAACCTTGACATTTCCTTTAAGAATGAACTTAATATGTGAAAATCCCCCTCTCAAAACCGTATGAGACTTTCATCTCGTACAGCTTAAGCAAAAACGCCCAAATACTAGTTGCAACGGCTATGTAATAGAAAGTTTGAAACTTCTTAATCTCTGATTCAATCTTATCTGAATGTATAAAAGAATAAAAAAATAATCCGAAAGCTGTTCTTTGTGGCGATAATTCCAAAATATCAAGTTAGCTCAATCGTCTTTATGTTGATCCAAAGGTTCGAATCATAGGGACGCGACATAAATCTGTGAGGGATAAGATGGGCTTAGGCTAACGGACAGTATGTAAGTTAACTGCTTCGGCATAGAGGCTGGGTCATTACAAAATTGGTACCAAGATTCAACTTAAATCATTTTTAAGGAAAAGGAAGCGTTCGAATGTTAGAAATTCGTGAAGGGTAAGATGAGCTTAAACTCTCTCAAAGTGGACATACGTAAGAAAACAACCGGACACGAGGCCTGGATCGCTTAAAAAAAACTTTTTTTGTAACGACCCGGGCCTCATGTCCAAGTCGTTATATCATAAGTACGGTCCGCTTTCGATGGGAATATATCCACTTACTCCCTCACAGCTTTCTATGGCGTCCTCCAGGATTCGAACACAAGACCTCTACCTAATTAAGTCTTGGGTTCGAATCCTGAGGACGCGATAGAAAACCGTGATGAGTAAGTGGACAGATGCCCACCCAAAACGGAATGTACATATGATATAATCGGATTATTACATTAACATAACACTAACTGCTATATATTATGAGGTGCATAATCATCTATTAGTTATAATATAGACGTCTAGATAAAAGGTTATATTAGGTACCTCAATTATTGTTAACTCCACATTTCTACTTTAAGCAAGAAAATTTGGAAATCATTCCTATGATTTTCTCATTTTATTTCTACATATTTAACATTGTTTGACAAATCCCCCAAATCCTAGAAAATCCATTAAACAATTAAGCCTCAAGTCTAACCAAACTAAATCCTAATTCAAAATAAAAGTACAAGGGTTATAATTCTAGTGTAGTCAGCTACAAGAAAAGTCATAAATTATAAAGATTTAACCAAAAGTACTACACCTTTTTTGCTAAATAACTTGACAAAGAAAACTTCAGCATTATTCAAACCCTATCATATGATGGAGTAGAAATATGAAATAGTGGTTGTTTTCCCAAGATCAGCATCCTAATCAGAATAACAGGTTTCAGCAATTTTGACCCAACATCCATCACCATTGCTTCCATACTATAACTAGGGACTGCAAGCAAGAGTTATGGATGGTCAACCTTATGGATAAGGGAAGAAAGTGTGACATAGGAGAGGAGAAAGGATAATCCAAATGACAAGAAAACCTTATTTTTCTTGGACAAAGGACGAGCTCCAAACGGGTTGGTCAATGTGATAATACTTTCACAACTTCGATCATGAAAGTCAGAAATACCACTAATGTATTGTGCAATCTAAATATTTTAAACCAAAAACCTCAAACATAACCACCAACAACAAAATAAGTCTTGTTTCCAATAAAAATATGGCTGCGTACAATAATAACATCATGAGTTAAAATATTTTATAATATCTTTCAACCTACATTCGAATAAATTTCAAATTAGAATATGATTGATGATAAATTCTTATAAATAGAAATCCCAGTGGCTAATTTTGATGTATATAGCCCCTGTTTGGTACGGATAAAAATATTGATAAAAATCAAAATCAACAATTAATTTTAACCATATTCATAGTTCAAAAGTTGTGAATCCCATGAAATGTGTGATTAAAATTAATTGGACTTTTACTTAGATTTTAATTAATGTTTTTAGCTGAACCAATTACAACGAATTTATTGTATATGCATAGTAATATCATTATTTGATTTATTTAAATGATTCGGCTCTCAATAATACTATGCCACTATTTGGGCTCCATCAAAATTAGTTTTTAGTAAAAAAATGTATTTTGGAATAGTAATGTTTTGGAGAATGTGCGGTTAAAAAAAGTTTTGGATATACATGTAAAGAGTATTTTATCGAAAAATATATGGTTAAAAAGAAGAAAAAAAAAATACATTTTGAAATAAAATGGAGCTCGAACAGGAGCTATAACACACCGAATTCCCTTACCAACCGTTATTTTTGAATTTGGGACTTGCTATAAAAAATTTGAAAGTTCAGAGACCAAATTGAAAAGCTTTTAGTTTTTGGAGGACTATCCAAAAAATTTACTACGAAAGTCCACTACTTAAAACACCATCGGATTTCAAAGTAGCACAATCAAATTCAAAAATTTCAGCCAATAGTGCACATCCATCATTCCTTCAAGCCAAGCCCTTCGGTCTGTTATTATACCTAGAGTAGTAGAAAGAATTACAATTTCCATTTTTTAGAACAGCTCCAAGTCAAATAGAAATTATTCGAAGCACTTCTTTTTACACTTCCAAAAAATTAGGGACTCAATTGTATAGATATGTAAAATACAGGATTTCCAAATCTAGCAAGGAAAAGGGCGAAACGGATACTCAATTTAAGTAAGTGAACAGAATTTCAAACTCGATCTCAAAGATACATATTCCACTTCTTATATGTCATCTATCCTCTCCAACTTCTGATTGAGACAAGGTTTAAAAAGGCAAAACTAAGTATTGAAGTGATTTTTCTTTGAGGCGAGGCGTAAGCCTCGAAGCGGATTGAGGCGTAAGCCTAAAAAAAAAATATTTAAGTAAAAGAATTATAAAATAATACAAAAATACAAAAAAATCAAAGTTGGAGGATATAGTAAATATGATATATAGTCATTAACATATTGAGATATAGTCCACCGAAAGAAAGAAGATGTTTAGCAAAAAAAAAAAAAGCATTACAGAAGTTAAAAATCACTCCATTCGCAATAGAAAAAAGAAGCAGCTTAAACTAAAAAAAAAAAGCCTAATAGTCTACACTATCATCACTATTACTAGCATCGTTAATGGAATCATCATCATATCTAATTTCACCATCATCTTCCTCTTCGCTACTCTCAATTTCTACAAAAGGCAGTAGTGAGGCGCGCCTTGAGGCGTGCGCCTCAGATTAGAGGCGTGAGCCTCATATTTTTAGCCTAAAAAATACAGCCACAAGGCATACTACATGCGCCTCACAGTGAGGCAGGCCTCACTACCGCCTTTTTAAACCATGGATTGAGAGATTCGAGGAGGGAAAAGTCGAACAGCTAAAGTGAATTTTAGAAGAAGTCAATTTGAAAGGTGTTCAAATGTCATTTATGAATGAATAAGAGGAAAAATTGGGTGATTAAATTATATCATTTAATTTAATTAACTCACTCAATTATGATATTTACCTATGATGCACCGACACGAACACGTATGTCCGACACGATACGTGTCAACATAGTCGACACGCTATTTTTCAAAAACGTACAGACTCTACACATCGCTGACACGTTGATTAAATTCTTTAAAATTCTTTATTTATATAGTATAAATCTAGTTTTATTCTTATTATTAATTTTCTTGTTGAAATCTTTTAAATATAAGTATCTATTTGTTATCTAATAATAACTTTTAATTAAAAATATATAATATTTAAGATAAAAAAGAAAAATGACTATAATAAAGTGTCCGAGTAGTGTCAATATCCGACACGTGTCGGCTACAAATACGCTACCCTAATTGAAGTGTCCGTGCTATAGAAATATTTACACTAATTCCTATTTTAAAAATGGAAATTGTATCCATTATTCATGTGTGATTATATATGTATATAATCATGTATTTTAAATGGAATGTAGGAATATATGATTTAATTATCGAGTCAAATTGAACTTTACATGTTAAGTAAATATAATCTCTAAAAGGAAGTCAAATATTCATTTTTCATATACAGGGCAACATTTAAGTATTTTATTATATATACAGTGGCAATTATGTGCACTATACATACATAGACACAAGCTAATATATTGAGGAATTATGTAAATAGAGGAAATTGCATACTTTACGAAATATTATTAAATAAAACAATACTACATACAACACCAAGCACAATAAACACACCACATACAACCACACATGTAGTCACGGCCATATACCCCCGATTCAATTTTAGGGGGTTAGCTAGAGAGAAGAAAACTCAAGGTGTGTTAGTGTCCATTATGTTATAAAATTTTGGAATAAGTTTTACGGGTCTTATGTGAATAAGTTTATGGTAAGGGGCCAGAATTTAATATAGCTACGCACATGAAGTTTCTACTATTTTTCTTTTTATCTCCTTAGTGTATGATACGATAGTATTCATTTTCAAATTTTTAATACGCTTTACAATTTATGGTGCACACTTATTGAGATTTTATTATCTCACTTTACATTTCCTCCTTTCGGTCAGCTATAATCGAGGTCATAGTTTGGGAAGTGATCAATGGTATGGAGAATTTAATTATTAAATCCTTTAAAAAAATTGTCCAAAAACTCATTATTTAGTTTAAGTATTGTTTTAGCAAAATACATTAAGCCCCCGTTTGATCTACATTATTATCTCATTAAAATGAAAAATATGACCGTTATCCATCACATCAACATTTAGATTCAAATTTTCTATCTCTTATGTGGGCCCCAATAAAGACTATATTTTTCATTCTCATTCTATAATAATTTGGCTCAAACATAGCCTAAAAGTTTGGACATGGCAATAAGTTTTATTTTTATTCCTATTGAGGATGGTTGGCTTTAAAGTTATTTTCTCAATTTTTATTGGGAAATATATGTGTTTTAGTGGCACACTGTATCATAGCATTGCAATTCTATAGATAACTTACTTTTGAATATTTTTGAAAACTTTTAGTATTACGGTACTGTTTATAAACCGAGAATAGTACCCGAACTCAGGTTATTATTGCGCACATTGAGCAGACCGATAGTTTTCACCTAATCGATCTAAAATCTTAGCCAGAAAGCAATACTTTCCTCCTGCCTTCTCCTAGGGTGGGAAAGTCACTCTAAAAGCACTGGTCTGAGTTAAAGCATAGAACACAAGCAAATAAGCAAGCTCAACAAAGAATGAAGTCACCCATGTCACCTTCCCCTTTTGCCTTCTTTCTTATGACGTAGTTGTAGAGGAAACGGCCACTACACTAGGGATTTGAAAATAAATGAACTTTACCTTGCAAACCGCGAATAGTACATGTACTCAGGTTATTGTTCGCGCACTGTGAACATTACCATGGAAGAACTTTTTATGATAAAAATTTTAAGAAAGGGAAAATTTTATTTTTTCTAACTTGTGTTATTTTAATTATTGAAAAAAAAAATTGGTTTAATTTCCTTCTAAGAAATAATTTATGATTTTCAGGAATAAGTTAATTTTTAGGAATAGGAATTAAAAAATTTAATGCCGCCAACGGGCTACGCCACACTACACGTTTCGATCTCCTCGAATCCCTCCTAGTGCAAATATGATACTAAATTTTGCTCTAAACCAATTTGGTAAACGTCGATTTAAATTGAGTGGAATTCACTCAACCCGAGCGGTTTGGACCGATTTGAGAGGTTCTTAACCAATCCTTCAACAATGGACCAATTAATGTCAACCGGACCACAGTCCAGTTCGTCGGTTTCGGGCCAATCCAGTTCGATTTTAATAACTATGGTTAAAACCATGGGCTAGATGTTTGAATAACTTTCCTTCCAATTCTTGGCTGCATAGGATCTGTTTCTTACTTTTTACTTCTCTTCTTTTACACATACATGACTTTGTTCATAATAAAGATGACCATTAATACAGTAGAGGTGAACCACCAGTTCGAGTCCCCTCAGGGTCTCTGAGGTGAGTACCCGATCGTAAACTTCAGGACCCCGTGGGATTAGTCGAGGTGCGCGCAAGCTGACCCGGACATCCACGGTTATCAAACAAAAAATTACCGAAGTTTCTTTTGAAAGATTTTTAAATATTTCTAAAACACATGGGCATATTGGCCATTCATGATGAACTCAATAGACACGAGGATCTTTTGCTCAAGCCAGTCAGTTTCATACAGTAAAATGCATTCTTCTGCATCCCAATAAGTCGATGAAAATGGGGAAGAAACCTACATTCCCCTTTCTCATGGTTGTTCCTTGGTAACAAATGCATGTCTATTTTACTTATCGTAACAATGCATTACTATCCTGCTAAGTATAATCTTTCGAGGTGGCCTTAGTACCAAGTTTATTTTCAAGTGTGGGCAAGCCAAATGCATATAATAGAAGCTACTTAAGAGCATTCAAGTTAAACAATAACCACGCTACCGGGAGGCTAAAGAATTAGTCTTCACACTATTGGTACCTAAACTCTGAGTTTATCTTTTATTGTTTCTTTTTATGGAAATTCAAACCCTAGAAAAATATGAATTAATTCATCCGGGAAAACCTAACCTCTAGAACCCCACATCAAGAGTGATTCAAGTACACTCAACCAGAAGAAATCGAAAAATGTGTAGAATTTCAGAAGCCTTTGTTGGATTTTCTTAAGTTACGAACTTCCCAACAGAAAATTGTCCATTTTTTAATTATTATTTATAGAGGAAGCAAACAAAAAAATGAGGAACTGAAAGGTAAGTTACCATAGAAGGAGGGTGGTCGGGAACAGCAAAACCGGCTTTAAGGAGTTTAGAACCAGCATCTACAACCACAGCCTCCATCGTCGAGCTTGTGAGCGGGTGCTTCTGGGATTTTCTCTTGTGGTTGTGGAATGGAAAGTAGAGGGCGGAAACTACACGTGGGAGCTGATAAAGTTGCTTCAATTCATTTAACTAGAGATTGTTTATTTACACCTTGTTTGGTAACACTAAAAATTCAATTAAAATTGAAAATATAGTCATTATTGGGTCTCACCCGTCTAATAAAAGTCAACAATAACGATTAATTTTTCAATTTTAATTTGATTTTAATCTCTACCAAACACACTCTTAATCCTCAAGTTTTAGAATCGAAAACTATCTCATCTCTAACTTTCAAATTTTCAACTTTAATATATGCAACTTTTAGTTCTTTTTAATGAGTTTAGTCAATTTTGGGATTAATTAATCACATGTCCCTCATGGAAGCACTTTTAAGGAAAGAAATGGTAAATGCGAATAAGCTAACAAAAAATATATATTAAATGAAAGGAAAGGGAAGAACAAAGAACAAGGAAAAAAATGAAAACGGAAAGGAAAAGGAAAAGAAAGGATCATGGGCAAGGGTGTTCTAGTGTGTTGTAGATTCGTCTCCAAAACTTGTATCATTTGATTTGATGGTGTCTGTAAATCAAAGAAGAGTGAGCAAAAAAAAATGAGAAACTTACCCCGCCCTGCTTAGCACCTTCAAACACCAACTACGCGGTGAAAATGGAAAGTACGGCATATTAAAAGACCACAACAGTTGAATTTAAAGGGCTTGCTTGAGCATATTGAACTACGAGTGTAGTGTTCTTATCGAACATACATGTTTTTCTAGGTTGTTGTCTAAAAAGAGGTGACTTTTAAGTTATTGTAAATAGGTCTCTCAAGACATGTGACTACATATATCCTAATACAAACAAGTTTTAGAGAGTTGCCAACGAAAGTGAGTGTAAACCAATAGTTGGGGTCGCGATGACGCAAATATACGATCTTTTAACCCAACTTAATAGGATGTGAACCAATATTCCACTCCATGATGTCGCATTTATCTGAGGGAGGGACCTCAACCTTACCTCCTCAAGTATACTCGACTATTTTCGACTATAGTGTCAAAACTTAATGGAAGATACCTTAAGTCAACAATGCTTAGGGTCTGTCAACTATGGGATCTCTATTATTATTATTATTATTTTGGTAGAAGGAGGGCGGTACCTTCGAAATTTTATTATTATATCCTCACTTATGACGGATAAATATCATGGTTACAAATGATATCAATGAAATCAATAAATAAGGAAGTACTACTTCCCTTACAAAAAAAAACAAGTTAAAGCAAAACTAAAAGTAAAAGCAAAATACAAAAATCTAAACTCTAGTGTTGGGCAAACCATACCTGTCAATCTGAACAAGCGCCCTGATATGTCGTGGTAGGTCGGCTGGTCTATATTCCTGGTATCTACGATGATGCCAACCCTCGGTAGCAAGTGCATCTACAACTTGGTGCCCCTCTCTGAAGATGTAGGAGAGCATATCTCTGTCAAATGAAACGATATCTGCAACCTGTCTGAGTATCCCCTGGATAGGAGACGGTCCGCTACCTCTAGTGATGCAGTGAATGGCAACAGTCGAATCTGCCTCAACCCAAATATCGACAAACCAAGCTCTCTAGCCAATAGTATCCCATCACAAATAGCCCTAAGTTCCGCCTCTAATATCATACATTGTCCATATGAAGTTGAGAAAGCCCTGATACAATTTCCTGCGTAGTCCCTGATGATGCCTCCCCCACTTGCAAATCCATCCTTGACACAACCATCAGTGTTGATCTTGACAGATCCAAATGATGGAAAGCACCACCAAACCATGATAGGGAGAGGAGATGGGAGGAGAGTCAAAGAAATACCAAAAAGTATAGCAAGCTACATGTCATTACGCCAATGTAAAGGTCGGAATAGTCCACCAATATGGAGGCATGATACCATACGGTAAACTCTCCAGATAATACATCTCGAGCTCATGTATGTTCATGTGCTTTGCATTATTCCTCTCAGTTCAAAGAAACTAGAAAATCAGTAGAGGAATAATGATGCGAATGTGTTCAGTCCTTGCAAACTGTCCAGAATACTTCCATTTCAGAAATCTCTGTCTGATACTCTCTCCTGTACTCATGGTAATCTGAAATAAAGCCCCAAATGTTGCCAAACGTGATCTGAAATACTGCTACCAGTAAAAATATGAATAATGGTCTCAATCTCAGAACAACACTGACATTGAGAAGCCAAATGACTGTCGATCCTCCTCTAGATAATGACATCAACTGGTATTAAATCCTGCCATAGTCTCCAACAAAAGAACGAAACGGTAGTAGGTATAATAGGACTCCACAATAGGCGAAATGAATCCTGAATTGGCATGCTAGAGCGGATCAGCTGCCATGCTGATTAGTATTAAATCTACCATCTGATGTGGCCCTCCAGAAAATACGATCTGAGACATCAAGACATAGTGGAATGGTCGCGATCTGCTCTGCCATAGCTGATGGAAGAGCCTGAAGTAATCGCCCAAAATCCCATCCAGTCTCCTCGAAAAAGTCCTGCACTCTCGCAAATGTATGCTATCTGTGTGGAAAAATGGATGCTAATGTAGAATTACCCATCCAACAATCATGCCAAAAGAAGATCTGCCATATCCCAAGGCGCCACGCAATGTGTGTCTCGGCTTAAGATCCAAATTTCTTCAGTCTCTTCCAAATAGGCGAGGCTGAATAAGAAACTGCTGCAAGCGAAGGATGTGTCCCTCTACAATATTTTCCCAGTAGAACCTGAGCCCAAAGAGAACTCTGAGACCTAAACAACCACCATAGCTTCAATGAAAATGTATCCACCGTATCTTGTAATCGTCTAAATCCCAGACCTCCCTCGTCAACAGGAAGGCAAATAGCCTTCCAATTATGCCAATGTAGACGACGCACATGATCCTTAGAATCCCATAAGAATCGTGCAAATATACTTTCTAGCATTTTCAGAATGACCATAAGAGGTCGCATAATCTGTACTAGATACAATGGTATAGAGGAAAGAACGAATCTCAGTGGAGTAATCCTACCACCAGGAGAGAGAAGACGTGATGCCCATCCAGAAATCCTACTCCTGACCTTCATAATGAGATCATCATACAAAACGTTCATCTTAGCCCCTTTAAACATAGGGACTCCCAGATATGTGAACGGTTGTCTCTGATGTGAAAATCCAATTAAATTCACTAACCTCCGTATCTGAATATCAGAGCACGCT